TTAGGTCAGTATAATAACTTCAACTACTATCTGTAGAGGCCTTTCTGAAATGATAATAAAGTCTATTCATCCCGTCGAAACCACTATATACTCTGACATTATTAGATGCTGCTTGCAGATAAGTGTCTCTCCTATGGGAGTTTATTCGAACTGCACCACATTTGTTTGTTCATTCAACATTGTTTTCCATGAAGAACATATATTAGTGTCATTGATACCCATGCTCACATGTCAATTCTGAGTCTTATTGTTTATCTTGGGTTTGAGATTCCGCATACTTGATAAAGAGTGTGCATCTATTATTAGACTATTTGCATGATGTGTATCTCACACTTTACACTTTTATTTCAAAAAAAAAAAAAAATGTTCTATGTGTAGGTAATTAAATAAAGTTATACTGAGCCTACTCAAATTGCTTCTATCAATTGCCAGATCTTGTTACTGGAGAATTCTCGCTGTAATGAGTAAAATAAAAGATAAGAAAAAGAAATCTAAAAAGATGGTCACTTTAAACTTACTGTTTATGTTATCTGCAATCTTATCATTGGCTCTATTTTGTTTTATTGATATATAAATCTCACTTCTCTTCTAGGTGCGGAGAGGTGGTTGGCGTTATCTGGATACCGGGCAAGTGCTGATTGAGAGTGCATGCTCTGTGGACAGGGTGGAGGAAGCTGTAAGCACATTGCTACCGATGCTTCCAGAGATACAATATTTTCGGTTCAATCCAGGTAAGCATTACGGATATAACTGTGGGATCTATGTCATTGATCTATGTCTGTGATTGCAAACAATTTCTCTTTTAAAGAGAATTTGCTTCACGCATTATTTTCTCTTTAATCTTATTAGCATTTACTAAATATGTCCTTAAAAGAATATCTTTTGATGATAGAATTATCTAAATTCAATATTGGAATTTATGGCATTTATATCCCTGTAGTTGATGAACGTTGTGATATGGAGTTGGATGAGACTGATCCAGCAGTCTGGTTGAAGTTGGAAGCTGCAATTGAGGAATACATCCAGAATAATTCTCAGGCATTCAAAAATGCTTGTGAGAGATTAGCTCTACCTTTTCTAAATGATGAAAGGTTGTCGGAGAATTTGAAATCTCAGTATTTTTCAAAGGGGAAGGTGTCAAATACAGGTGTTTTTCTCTTGTACCGGTTACTTTATTTTCTGCGAATTTAATTTTTTTTTCTTTAGTGGTTTTTCCTTCTGAACCAATAAATTTGTTTGATTGTCTGCAATGCTTGAAGAGAAGGGTCCTTCTTTAGGTTGGAGGCGCAATGTGCTGCTTGTTGAAGCTATGCATAGTCCTGATTCAGGAAGAGTTATACACCATGCACGGGCGCTTGAATCATTTTGTACAAGTAATGAATAAGTTATCTCTACTGCACGGGGCATCTGGAAATTGAGCTAACACAGCACAGCATTTCCACACATTCACGTCACCTTTGATCTCTGGAAGCTTCCCTCAGCCACTTATAT